TCCGTAGGAAGAGAGTTCAACCGAACAGTTGGTTCAGAAGTGAACGACTGACTCCCTAAAATAATCCATGACATCACAGAAAATTGTCCATGTAACTCATGAGCATTGTAAGGCATTTGAAAATGTTTGTATGTGAGAATTGCTATATATATATATTTAGGGCTTCAGGATACACTGACTGCGCTTCTGCAGAGGGGTAAGACCCACCCAATAAGGCATCCTGGGTATGATGATAAATTACATCTGGCAGCAAGGTCTCTGATCAGGAGGTTTTGAGGATCATGGAACCACCTCTTAATTGTTGGTGTTCCCAGGTCTACCCTGTCCTGGGGTGGTAGCACCTGTTAGGGTCCCAGCTATGGGCAAAAAGTAACCCCCTAAACTGGCGTCAAGACACTATGAAGTGTAAAAATAGGTTTTAATACCAGCAATACAATATTACCAGAAAAAATTATTACTTGCAATGCAAAAAAAACCCAAAAAAAACCAGCAATACATTTTTTGTCAGCATTAAATAACCCCTTGAGGTGTTGATATGCTGTAAAACAAAACAAACCAATTTTCTGTGATTTTCAGCTCAAAGCAACTTACTTTTTAAAATAATGATCACAGATAATGAAAAATAGATTGTTTACAACAATGTGGTGCAGAAAAAAGTTAAAGAGAAAATGATGTGAGCTCCTGTTAACCACTCCAAATGTCAATCAGTAGCCAAAGAAGCAGATAATGCATCTCTAGCAAGATTAGAACAGCATTGTGCATTACTGGAATTCTGTCTGAAAAATCTGGCAGTGAATTCAGACAAGAACTGTTCCCAATTGGTGGCAATCAATGAAAAGCATCTTCTATCAAGACAATACCAAAGTTCAGATTTTTTTGCAGAATTGGTACAGCTTAGCTTGGATATCCCACTTACATCCACCATACTCACCTGAACTTTTCACTTTTAGATTACTACTTACTTTGATCCTTACAAAATTCTCCTAAGTGGAAAAATCTTCAAAATAAATTAGACCAGTTCAACACCCAAAAAGATGCCAAATTCTGGGAGGATGCAATCATGTAATTGCCTCAAAAATAGAAAAAGGTAGTGGAACAAAATGGTACATATTTAAATGAATAAATCTATGTACAAATGTCTTTGAAATTAATTTATAAAACACTATGAAATTTTGTTCAAACACAAAGTTGAGTAATTTCAACGCATTGACAAAGACATTTTAAAATTTCTAGAATCATTTTGTTTTTGTAAAAATGTAAGAACAGGAAGAGGAAAATTTGAATAATGATAAACAAAATTTACTTATTTAAAAAATAATTCAGCTTTCATATTGTACTGTAGATTTTGTATATGTGAAATTTAACCTTTAGCATTCTGCATTATTAATATTACTTCCCTTTCTACTGCATTCTTTGTTTTAAGGCCTCTCAATTGCAATATACTTATTAATTTCACTCAAACTTGTTTTCTACTGCCATAGCAGGATATGACAACACAACCATGAAAGTTACCTTCAATGGCAGCATAAACTTTTTGTACAGCAAATGAAGTCATATATAGAGTGATAAAGGAAATAAAAAGATGAGATAAAGTCGATGCCAGAAATTATGAAAATCAAAGAATATTATTGAAAATAAATGCCTTTTTGATTGAATCATGACATCATTCACCTCTTCTCATGCATTTAGCTGGACACAAATAAAGATAAACAACAAAGATAAATTATCTGTCACCTTTAAGAGTGGCCATTAAATTTATCCCAGATGCAATATCTTCAAAATTATGTTAATTTAATCTTGAACAAACAAAAACAAGCAAGCTTCTTTTTCTTTTAATAAACATTAATTAGCAATTTATTTTATGATTACAAGAGGGTATTTTTCTATTTTGACAAGCTACAATATCTTCTTGGGACAGGCAAAAGAGAAAAGTACAAATGTTATGAGAGATACTGAAAGTGACACAGGACTAATAATTTGAAAAGAGCCATCCTACCGACCCACACCAACATGCCATATGGTAACAGTCTTGCAAGTTGGTCATCTGATATAAATGGTGACAGTTACACTTAGAGAGAGAGAGAGAGAGATTTCAACGAAGAATACAATGGAAAAAGATAAGGTAGGTTTATTTCTTTTGTATGTGAGTAATATGACATAGCTGAGAGTTGATTTTTATTTCCAAATTGTAGAAAGCCTGATTAAAAGGAATAGGGAGGTATTATTTAAAACTTTAAGATGAAACTGTTATTATTATTTAAACTAGTATCTTCATCTTTGTTGTTTATATATTTCAGCTACTGTTTCATTAAGCCCCCTTTAAGTGCAGCCTATTGTTCTATGAGAAAAAAAGAATCATGAAAGACATTTCTAAAATGATGGTAAGTAAGAAACATGTGAGGAAGGCCAAAGAAAATTTTGAATGAAACACTGTGATAAAAACAACAAAAATAAAGATCCTAGTTCACGTAAAGTGTAGAACAAAGGTGTTAGGAAAGTTTGAAAAGGTTGGAAGTTTTGAAGTCATTTTCAAGAATGAAGTAAATTATTATTGCAGCATGAATTGAAATTGTAGAAAATATCTGCTAACATGGCAAAGTATAGCCAAATTATTGAAAGCTGTCAATACAACAAATAATAAAGAGAAAATAAAGTTGACAATTTATTGGTGACTTCCAAATGAGTAAAGTGGGAAAAGACAGCAAACATTTATGAAAAATAAATAAAAAAAAAAAAAAAAAAAATTAGGAAAGCCTTCTATTTTACTTAAATTAGCTTGAATTTTTAGGGGATTATATTATTCCTCCTTTGTGGGGAATTAAAATGTATGTATATAGGCTTGAATGATAGTAAAGGAAGCCTGCATAGCATCACCCTCACTCTTCTCATGTAACAAAACGAGAGTCCACTTGAATGGCAATTGGGAAAGTATTAAAATTTATGACTTCTGAACATTAACCTGAAATGAATCAATAGCTGTCTGCCTTAATTGGAAACCATTTATATATTAATAAATTGGTTTCTACCTACAGTATGTAGGTATCTTTCAGTAGTTGCATACTACAAATACAAAGACAAAAAAAAAAAAATGACTGCTACAAATCTTTTAATAATTCTATTGTGAAAAATTACCAATGTTAATCAATGACAAAAAATAAGATGAAAGACAAGAATTTTGACAAGTATGTTGTAAATATTTGGTATCATCACTTATTTTTTATCTGTGGGTGATTTTACATTTGCTTTCCCACAGCCTGGCAAAATGTAAAAAAAGAAAAATAAGATAACAAAAATTTATAATATTTAAAACTAAATAAAGTCTCTTTTTGCCTTTATTCAAATTCATAAATGATTGATTCCTAAAATTTTCCATGGGCCTACAACTTTAACAAATTCTATGTCGCAATAGTCAATTTGTTTGACTATTTTGCGCTCTGTAAAGATGTGAAAATTTTTTTAAAAAGAAATTGAATTAGTACATTCAATAAATGTATCCTTGTGTCAGATTTTAATTGAGTCAATACTTGAAACAGACCTGGAAACTAATCACAACTTTCAGAATTAAAGTTTGTTTTTTTTTTTTTTTTTAAATTTCAGAAAGAAAAATGTTTCCAATTTTGGGTAAAAAAGTAAAAAAAACCTTAATGTTGAAATAGATTCTTAAGAATTTAGCCATATTTGAACATTTCACCAGAAATGAAGATGGAAAACAATTTTTGTAACAGTGCATGACACCAGGCACAGACATGATTATTAATTAATGTACAGTGGGAAATTAGAGACATGACAAAGGAAAGGTTGATGTTGGTTACGTGGTCCCAGAGGAAGAGAAAAGTGGGCCATCATAAATGGTGCTATGTCCCCAGGCGATATTTGATTGATAAAATTGTTAATGTAAAATGAATAAGAGGAGTGACCCATCTAAGCCAACAATTTCCTCAAGGGAAAATCCTTAGTGAGGCTGTGTATCAGTGCATATATATATATATATATATATATATATATATCACATTGAAACACCAGTTCTCTTATGATCACCAAAGTTAAGCAACATTTGTTGCACTTGGTCAGTAGCTAAATGGGTGATTGCTTGGGAATACCATGTGCAGTAAGGTTTGATGTGTGGGTGGGGTGTAATGGATAATGGCTTGGAATAGGAGAGTTGAATACCAATTCCAGTCAGGTTTGTTATATTCACTTAGGTTGAAGGTGACATCTAGAAAGTCTAAATTTAGTTTTTATGTCTATGTTGAATTCAATATTTTGAAAATTTTTATGATTGTAACAGACAAAATGAGAAAAACAGTTTCTTAAGATTATGAAACAATTGTCCCTGGGGGAGAAAATAGGTATAATTATCTTACCAGACCAACACAAAATAAATGATCAGAACTAATCTTAAAATTCAAGCCTGAAAACAAATTTTTACCATGTTACTTAAAAATCAAAAACTAAAAACAAGCAATAAACGAAAAAATAAAATAAATACAAATAAGTAAAATAAACAAATTAATAAACACAAATAAATGTAATCACAACAAGCAACAACATAAGAAAATAATCAATAATAAATAATGAGTAAAAAAGTTAACACTATAAAATAGCAACAAAACTGCATTTGGATCCACAATTATTTCCACTCAATAGTCCCTAGAATAATTCGAAACATGACCATTACTGCCCATCCAAATAACCATTAGAATAATAGACCTGCCATAATGCACCACTGACCAGCATATATAAATAGTGGAGCCAAAACACCACACACATGGGCTGATGAGTGTGTTTAAGCATGAAATAGTCTGTTGATCTCAATGACCACTTTTATATTTACATAAACTATCCCTGATATTGAGCACTGAAATATAGCATAACTTAAAACTATATTTTCATCATCATATATATATATATATATATATATATATATATATATATATATATATATATATAGTGAGGAAAGAGAGAAAAGCAAAAATAATAAGTAGAAACTCACATAATACCAAAATGTATGGATTGTAATGTGCCTCGAGATTTGGTGACTGCTGTCAAAAGAGCACATAAGAAATGGAATGCGCCAAGACCCCACAGCCATCTCTCACTCCAGTCCACCTAAAGAAAAAATAAATAATAAATTAGAAATTTCAAAATGTCAAAAGAATTGTGAAATTGTGTGTGTATATATATATATATATATATATATATATATATATATATATATATATATATATATATATATATACATACATACATACATATGTGAAAATATATAGAAAATAGGAAAGAACTGGTTAGGTAAATAATCCAAAGTTCCTTAGTATTTTAGTTATTATTTTTAAAAAATAGTGCTCGATACAAAAGTAGAGCATAAATATAATTATTTATTTAAAAATATGATTCCAACTCGCGACATAAGAGGTCTCATGTTTCAAAACAGAAGCTGAAAACTTCAATATAATTATTTGAATTAAATTGAGTTAAAGTAAGCTCTGTTCCATCTTCAAGCAAAATTTTTTTTGGAATAACTTATTTCCGAAATTTACGTGTTTTAATAATTGAAATCAAAATTTCCATGGTAACAGCTAGGGAGAATTGTTTAAATTGGGTAGGCGTGTGTTGGGTGTTAATAAGTATCAGTATAGAGTTACTTTCATAGATGTCAAGTCAGGGTAAGGTGGGGGTGTCTAAATTTGAAACGAAAGATGTTTTAGTCTAGTCTGGCTTACGTGTCTATGGAGATTTATTTATTTTTTTAATGAAAGGGATTTGTGCATATAAAAACTGCCGTAACTTTTGTTTTTTGACGACTTCATAAAGGGTTATCTTTTTTGTAGGGTATTTAAACTATTTATTTGGGCTATGGATTATAAAGTTATTATATTGTATGCTTGTTAATTAGCTAATTATTCAAACCATGAATTTGATGATGTCTACAAAAAACCGTTAACTCATGTCTATTGTTTAATAGATTATTATTATTTAGGAACTTAATAATGTGCAGCTTCTCATGGAGGCACAAAGGGCATGGGTCATCCCAAGTTTTACATGTTCTAGTCCTGTTTATAATTTTCCATTTTTATATATATAAAGTCAAAGAGTCAAACATCATTCATGCCACCTACACATCACATGTTAAAAAAAAAAAAAAAAAAAAAAAAAAAAAAAAGTAGCAAAATGGCTGTAAATTTTGGAATTGATTCCATGTAAATCTAACAGGCTGGCAAACCTGAATTTTTTAATCATTTTTATGCATTAATTCTTTCAATCATATTTCTATTCTTCTGAGTACTCTTCTACATTTACTATTGTCTTGAAATATAGAGTAGTCACTGTTGTTAATGAAATAAGAGGCTATGGTGGTTCCATTTAATAATAGATGATTCAATGTGCTCTGTAGTAGGGCAGCTTGGTTAGACGTACAACCTGCATAAAATATGATTAATGTAAAGACATCGTCTTATTAAATACTAAGATGATTAAGTAAAAAGTTCAGTGCTTATGCAATTAAAACTGGTTATAATATTACAGCAATAGATGTAAAGAAAAGCATCTGGTTTTATATCCTCTCAAGGGAAAGTGTCTTAGAATGGTTCTATTTTCAACTAAAATTGAAAACACTCCATCTACAATACAAATAGTAATTACAAAAACCTTCACTATTGATAGGAAATTATCATATTTTAGCAGACTGTCACTTCTTTTCATATAAAATCTGGATTATAGCAGCAATTTACTACTCTTAGCTGGGTTTGAACTACTTTCAGCATTTAGGCTATTTCAATGCAGTCGAAGAGAATATTGAAGAGAAAGAACAATAAAAGAACAAGATTCAGGAAAAGAGATTAAATTCTGGAAGATCGCAGTGACAGGGAAGCAGTAAACTAGAAGAGAGTTACACAGGTGAGAAAAGATACTATTAGAATAGAACCTACAGTTACATCGAGCTATTTCAACAGTAAATTACCAATTTAGTACTATGCTTGTCGTTTGGGTACTAAGGCTCATTAGAACAATTGACATGAAAATATTTAAAGAAAAGACACAAGGAAGCCAAGTAATCACAGTGGGAAAGTCATTGAAGTTAAGATGTTAGGCCATGACAGATAATATTACAGACCTTCTTTGGATTTTATTGAGAATCTTGAAATATGTAGCAGGAGCAGCAGACCTGATATGGCAGCAATGTCCAATGTGAGGATGAACAGTAGATTTATAAATGTGAAAGATGGATTCTGGCAAGAAAAATTGTCTGGCACAACACAGTGAACCAACTTTTTCTAGCACTAGACCTAGCAAATGATTCAATATAATCACTCCACCTCATGTCAATGGAAAACTTAAGAACAAAAAGGCACAATGGGTTGCTCTCTTGGAGGTTAGCATCAGCCCTGTTGATCAAAGTTGAAAATGGGTACGATAATTAAAAAATATCAGTTTCCTTTTGGAGGTGTTAAAATTTTCAAGACATTTTTTTGCCCCAGTTAACAACTAATTGGAGGTAGATTTTTTTCTGATAAACACCAGGAAGATGTTCAGGTTCTACTGGACCATGTGAACTCAATAAGACCTTCGATACAGTTCACAATGGAGAAAGAGAGTAACAACACACTCCCATTCCTGGATGTTCTAATATCTCGAACAGAGCATGGGTTTAAGACATCCGTATACCGTAAACCAACATTCACCGGACAGTACCTCAATTTCAACTCCCACCATCCATACAGCGTAAAGAAAGGGATCATCTGTTACTTACAACACCGAGCAAAGGTCATAAGTGGCGACCCAGAGATGTTAGATAAAGAATTGGTCAGTATAAGTAGTACCCTACAACATAACAACTACCCTGGGTACATGGCAGCAGCCCCCCAAAACTGGGATAGGCTGGTACAAGAGGAGGAGAACAACAACACTCAGAAAACAGTCTGCCTGCCTTATGTGAGGGGGTTATCAGAGAAAATACAAAGGGTCTGCGGTCCATATAACATCAGGACAGCCTTCAAAAGCTTGACGACACTTCGCAGATATCTCTCCCGAGTAAGACCCCCCATAGAGGAGAACATGACTAAAGACTGTGTGTACGCTATCCCGTGCAGCTGCGGAAAGGAATATAAAGGAGAGACAGGCCGCCCCCTCAAGGTAAGGCTTCAAGAACACCAGAAAGCTGTAACACGAGGGGAAGTAGAAAAATCAGGCGTGGCTGACCACATATGGAGAGAGAAGGGAGATCATCGCCCTCTGTGGGATCATGTTGAGATCATAGACAAGGAACACCATTGGAAAATTCGTAAACTTAAGGAATCAGCACATATGCTAGGCCACAAAAATCTCCTGAGCCGACCAAGCATAGAAATAAATACAATATGGGAACCAGTAATAAGGAGTGCTAGAGAAAAGCAATGATAAAAAAACTGCAATATGAGCTCTGGTAAAACATGCAATGAAAACAGCAAAAATTGCAATATGAGCACTGGTAAAAAAATGGTTGCTGAAGACATTAGGTTTATAATAGCCAGAAATTCATACCCAGTGGCACAGTGGATAAAGGCGTTGGTTAGATCTAGTGACAGGACCCAAAGAGTGCGAATTCAATACCCTGTTAAGGCAGTGGAGAACTTTCAGAGGGAAATTAGCAGGAGATAACTGATAACTGACATCCATTAAACATGGCACGTGGAACTAGAACAGTCTACCCCAGTGAGCGTAATAAAGGGTTCAGTTCGAAATTCCAACTACCTGAAGAAGGCCGGAGAATACAACAGCCGAAACGTTGTAATAAATATGGCGACAAAGATGAGGACAATAGTCCGAATAATGTAAATAATGTATCAGGTGTGATGCCAATTGACAAGAGATGAGGAATTTGACCAGAAATCTACTCACCTAAGCAGCTTTTCTTCCTCATCTCTTTCCTTGTCTGTTCATGTTACTAAAATGCTCATCAATTCATTCTTTGTTTTATCTTTGCCAGGGATTGTGGAAATGAATCAAATTCTTCTGGGTGCCAAGTTGTCTATTGACCAAAGTTCTTATGTCTAATCTACTTTTATTATTGCCCCCCTCCCCTTTCCAATCTGATAAAAGACCTTAACGGGGAGTGGGGTATTAATGGACCCTGGCATTGCAATTTGGCTTATCTGTTTCTTCTATTCTCTACACAAGTGTTTTTGTTTTTTTAAAGCATTCCTCCCCTTTGCATTGGCACCTGACCATTATAACATCAGGGTGGCGTAACTAATTAGCTCTATGTTGATACTTAACTTTCCTCCTAGACATGCTAAATAAAGAAAAAAGAAAGGCCAGCTGAGTAAGGGTTTGGTCAGAGTTGGACAGCAGTTTGGTCTGTGAGCCTGCCCAGTGGTGATCTGTATTTCATCTCTCTGGACTAGAACAACTAACATGCAGTGGGTCCCCCTTTTATTTATGAGAATGCATTTCTTTCAGGTATTGGGTTGCAAAATCAATTTGAATATGGGCATAACAGAGTCAAAGGAATTAGTTTGGTGAATTCACCCTCTGGTCACATAGCAAAGTGGTCATTTTAAATGACCAGGGTGGTCCTCCTGATAGATTACTGTTGGTCTTAGAGGTGTCAACAGTTAATGATGACTGGAGTAGCTTGAGGTTAGTGTATTGGGTTGGTACTAGCCGGCAGTTCTAGCCTAAGGCAGTCAGTTGTTGGTAATCAGAAGATGAAGATGAAACCGCTTAGGAGGTGTTGAAGGATGATAGAGAGTCAGCATGTTGAGCTGGTACTATCAGGCAGTCTTAGCTGAGGATAGGTGGCTGAAACCACTGTGATTCGTGAGATGATGAGCAGCATGGAGTGAAACCTGAATCGCCGAGTGCATTGGTAGAAGATGTAGTCGGTGGGGGTCAGTTGATCTGTTAGCCGACACAGCAAAGGTTTGTGTTGACCAAGTTGGCTGCTGCTGCTGGTTACTGCACCAGTAGAGATGAAGCTGACAAGACAGCTACTGCTGATGGCGAAGGTTGCTGCTAGTTACGATACTACCCAATCACCTTGGCCACCCCTGAGAGAGCAGCTTCAATTCAGCAAACTTATCTTACAGTGTAGGAGTGTTACAATAATGCAGCGTTTTAACACTACTTCC